AGCACACCAGAGTCGCAAGGACCTTTCTAGAATCATCAGAAACGTAGTGGTGATCAGATTCAGCCACACGCTCCCGTTTGACGGAGACGGTGCGCAGACGAGTGAAGCAACCGGGTTTGTCGGCCAAGAGAGGGTAAAAATCCAGGGCCTCGCGGCAAGTTGGGGTGCTGATTCTTGCGTTGCAGCTATATTCTCACAAACCGCCATGTTGCTGGTCCGGGGCCGTTTTGGGGCTTGTGCATCATGGACCAGGAAGCTGTCTCCTGCCGGCCTTTGTACATTGACCCCATTCATGACTTTGCCTTTCTTAAGTACGACCCGGGAAGCATTCAGAATATGAAGATGGACGGTTTGAGCCTCAGCTCAGGTGGCGCATCCGGTAATTTACAGCTAGTATGCGGCACAGCACGGAGGAGGTCTGACTGTTTTGTGTAGTTGGCCAGCCGGTGCTTGTGGTCGGCAACGATGCCGGCGAAGCCACAAGCATCATCGACGGCGCGATCAGCCGAACAGACCGCAACGCCCCAGAGTACGACGGGCCCTACAGCGACTTCAACATCAGCTATTACATGGCCAACATGAACTTGAGCGGAGGGTCATCTGGCAGCCCGGCGTTGGGTGAAGATGGTTTGGTGCTGGGGATGGTGTCGGGGAGGCGGACGGATGGCGCGATATGCTTCCTTCTGCCGACGGGTCCCATTCTCCAAATCTTATGCCGTCTACGCCAAGGTCAAGACGTGCCCCGAGGTGACATCCAGTGCCAGTTCGTGATGAAACCGATCCACGAGTGCAAGGGTTTAGGGCTGGACTCGGGCTGGGAGGAAAGACTTCGCCGACGGATCACGGCGTCAGGTGGGCTGCTCGTCGCAAGTAAAGTTTTGGCCGGCGGCCCATCGTGCGGGAGAATTCTACCAGGCGATATTCTTCTCGAGGTGAACGGGGCTGTCGCGCTCCAGTTCGACGAGCTCGAGGATGTATTCAACGAGAATGTGAACGGCCAGGTTTCTATAAGCTTGCTCCGAAGCGGGCAACTAGTTCTCGGTACCATCGACGTCGTCAATCTTCACCACATCATGCCAAAATGTCTTGTATCGATGGGAGGCCTTTTCTGCCATGATGTAACGTAAGTACAGGCAGTCAACACGTCTGTGGCTGCTCGCGGCGTCTATGTGGCCGAGTCCACGGAGCCGCTGATGATTGGCGACGGCGAGCCTGGCTGGATCATCCAAAGCCTGAACGGTCAAGCCGTCTCCAGTCTGGAGGGGTTTCTTGACCGTCTGAAGTTGCTTCACAAGGGCCAAGCCGTCGTGGTGACCTACGCACATCTCGAGAGTCTTCATCGACGCCGCACTTCCGTCCTCACACTTGATGTTCCAAGTGGGATCAGAGTGTATTCTCTGGATGGGGCGACGGGTCTCTGGCGCAGCGCCACGACACCTCTGCGCCCGATGCCGCCGGCAGCGATGCACCACCCCTTCATGAGTAAGG